AAATCAGGACTTCCATGACGACTAAAAGCGAACTGACGAGTTAGACGATGGCATTTTATCCGAGTTTTACTGTATACCTGAAAATTAATCATGGAATTAAATCCTATATCCCATAATATATACTGTGCACCCTCAATACCAATTAGCAACAGCAATTAGCAGTCAAGGACTAACTAATGAACAAGAGTGCACACTCATAATATAGCTATAGTTATAGCTGAACGAGCTGGGTCACGTGCTAACGACCCACGCAAGATGTAATCACCAAGCAGATTTCGTCAGCCAGATTTCGTCCTCAGCCCATTCACGTGCAATGCAGATTACTTGCAAAAATATTTGTGTTTCATCATTGTTTGCCATCGTAATGATCCTGACATTGACCGACGACCACTTACAATACGTACGATGTATTTCACATTACTAATAATGTTTGTCTGTCTCTCGAAGCAGGCAATCTAGGATTATATAAATGCCGCCACACAGAACCTTGCGAAGTGGCATTAATCACGATTTTAATATAAACTCCTGTCACGTCCGATTAGATCGACCGGTCTCGAACGCAGTGCAAACACACATGCTGCTGCTGCTGTGGTCTCATTAGCTGCCCGGCCACAACAAAGCATAAACACGTGCACAGCGCGACATGAGGTAGGGGGCGCCGCGGTTGCTCGCTAAATATACGCGCTGACACATGACGAGATGACTGCACAGCTTCCGAGTTTAACCGAGGAAAACACGTGTTACGCCGTATATACTTTTTCTGGAACGGCTGTTTAACGAACTAACTGCTATCACTGTTAACTGCGAAACTGGAGAACAAAATGTGACTACATATATATATATATATATATATGTGGCCGTCGCGTAACAGAGATGCAGACTTCACTTCGATATACTGCAAGGTTTGATGCGCTGCACATGAAACACATCGTGTCAGTACATTCTATAGCAAGCCATGGAACTGATTAACTTCTACAACATTAGCAGCATGGGAAAAAACATTAGCGACTGTCACAACAGGGAAATACCGGTGGAGGTGACAATCGTACTGGGCTATAATTTCATCGTCTCGATCTGCGCCTTTGGACTCAATGCCGTCATCATTATCGTGATTTACTGCTCAAAGCATCTTCACCAAACCTACTATTACTTGATATGCAACCTAGCAGTGGCAGACATGATAGCAGGGTTGTCGGCTGGTAAGTATGAAGTCTATTTTGCTATCCAGGGCGCGAAATTAGCACCAGCCCACAGGCATATATGCCAGCAAATTATTTAGAGGGGCGGTAACATTGGCAAAACACCGGCGCATTGAGCCGGTGGTTTAAGCCGTGTTAGCGAGTACCTACATTTATATTTATAGCATTAATGAGCAAATGGCCTACATTACTGTTTTACCTGAAGTATATCACGCTATAAATTATCAAAATTTTACAAATTTGAAATCAAGAATGCAAGCGTGAAACATGACATTGATTCTACAAACAAAATTTGCGAGAGCTGGTAAATTATGGTGAGGGCTGGAACAAAAATGCTGTTACCAGCCCTCTGGGCCAGTAGAAAAATATCTGAATTTTGTGCCCTGCTATCCAAATGAGACAGACGTGAGCAGAACAAGTAAGGACGCTAACCGTGCTCTAACCATCATAACCCCTGTAACAATCTAGCCCAGCTTGGACATCAACATTAAGGTGCTTACACATGTAGTTTAGTTTTGTTAATTGGAACTGATCCATTTTCATTCTGACTGCACTCGAGTGATATGTCCGCATAAGTGCACAGTATTGTGTTGACCATGCTAATTTACAACAGTTATATAATATAGTAATTCACATGGATTGCCTTATGGGAATTTACTAGTATATATGTATGCAAATTATTATTATCGTTATTTCCACGTGTTTCCCGCACACAGGGATCCACACGACCTCCGTGAGACAGCTAGCATGCGAGATTTATTAATTATTATTATTATTGTCGTTAACTCATAAAAAAGCAGAATAATAAAAGGTGAGGGAAAACTTTTGGAAAACTTTTGGGGAAACTTTTGTGAAAACTTGGGAAATTTGGAAAACTTTTGGAAAACTTTTGTGAAACCTTTTGGAAAAACTTTAGTGAAAACATGGGAAAACTTTTGTGAAAGCTTTTGTGTCATACAGTAAAACTCGCATTAATCGGCACTTTTGGGACCAGCATTTTTGTGCCGACTTAGCAAAATGACGATATACGCGTAAGTCGTTATTTTGTCGACTTATGTGTAGCCTACGTCGCCAAAATGACGACTTATGCATGATGTATATCGTCATTTTGACAACTTGCAAAGCCGGCATTTCGGTGACAGAGAGAGAGAGAGAGAGAGAGAGAGAACCAGAGAGGTGTGCGCGCGCGTGTGAGAGAGAGAGAGAGAGAGAGAGAGAGAGAGGTGTGCGCTGGCGTGTGTGTGTGTGTGTGTGTGTGTGAGAGAGAGAGAGAGAGGTGTGCGTGTTTGTGTTGTGTGTGTGACAGAGAGAGAGAACCAGAGGGAGTGTGTATGTGTCAGAGAAAGAGAGAGAGAGAGGTGTGTGCGCGCGCGCGTGAGAGAGAGAGAACATGAGAGGGGAGTGTGTCGCTGCCCAAGCACCAACGCATAAAACTGATGTCTTGAAAAATGTGTATTTATTCTCATCAGACACCGTGAAACTGAAACATACAACATTATGCTATGAATATACTGATGTACATCAACTTAGACAATATTACTGACATGTGACATAAAACTCTTAACTTTGCACCCTTACTCGTCATCATCATGTATTTCAAACTTACAACAACCTACGTCTTTACAATGACCTAACTTATGTTACGAAAATACGTCTAATACAGTAGAACCACTGGCAGCAAGAACAAGCCCGCACGTACAGCACACACGCGGCCATTGACTATATATAACAACATGGTGCCTAACTCGCCGCCGCAGTTTCCACAACTCACCGTTTTCAATCAGTTACAACTCCGGTGTTCCTGCAGGTGACACCACTTTCCAACTATTGTTGTTTGTCGTTATTTCCACGTGTTTCCCGCACACAGGGATCCACACGACCTCCGTGAGACAGCTAGCATGCGAGATTTATTAATTATTATTATTATTGGTGTTTATTTCCACGTGTTTCGTGCGTACAGGGATCCACACGACGTCTATTTGGGCGCGCCTCGATTGCAGTGCTGCCATCTGCATGATCGTCACCGCCTCCTGTAAGTCCGCCGTCGCCGTCTCCATGACGACGTTCCTCGCGATCTCCGCAGAACGATACGTCGCCGTCGTTCACCCGATGCGCTACGACTCGTTCGTCACGCCGTGTCGCACCGCCGCAGTCGTCAGCGCCATCTGGCTGTGGGAGCTGCTCGTGCACGCCCTCTATTTCTCGACGCTCGTCCTCGACGCGTTCGCCCCGGCGCGATACTGCTTCATATTCAACGATCGAATCCGCACTCTCTACATGGCCTCGGCGATCGCATACTTCCTGTCGATGCCCGCGGTCGCCTACGCGAATGCGCGAGTGATGCGCGAAGTGGCGCGCCAGCAGAGGGCAGTAGCGGCATCCTCGGTGGTGGCGTCTGCGAGAGAATCGCTGCGGCAGAGGTTCCTCCGCGCGAAGACGATGTTCCCCCTGGTGGGAATCTTCTACGTGTGTTCGCTGCCTTACGTCATCGCGACACTGGTGCAGTCGCACGCCGCGGGGGTTCACACAAACATGCCGCAGATCTACGTGTTCACGGGCGCGTTCCTCCTCACGAACTCCGTGATCAACGTGTTCATCTATTCGTTAAACCTCAAGGATTTCAGGCGCGAACTTCATAGGTTCTTCTGCAAGAGTCGAGCGGCGGCGGCGGCCGCAGCGCGGGAGACGAGAGCGAATAGAATCTCGAGTGTTCGGAAGGAGGTCGTCACGCCGACGCCGTCGTCGAACAGCATAAGCGCCATTGTGAGTCATCAACACTGATGTGCCTCTCAATCACAGGCTGGTTCGTATTCAGTCAGTATGTATATACATGTATATATATGTGGATAGGTAGGTAGGTAGATATAGATAGATAGATATATAAATAGATAGATAGATAGATACATGTATATACATGTGGATAGATAAATAGATATATATATAGATAGATAGGTAGAAAGATAATTATATAGATTGGTGTATAGATACAGATAGATTGATAGCTAGATAGATAGATGGCTAGATAGATAGATAGATAGATAGATAGGAAGATATATATATATATAATAATATTAGTAATAATAATATTAATAATAAAAATAATATTAGTAATAGTAATAATAGTAATAATTACCCGTGAACGGACTGTTCTCCTTCAGCACCGTGTGGTTAAACATGTAGTATCCGCTCCCCGTGAAATGATTCCCGTTCTCCACAGCCGGCGGCGGCGAACTGAACGAAGCCACGGTGCGGGTCAACGTGTAGATGGGCGCCGGTCCGTTCTGCTGCAGTGGCGGCTCCCACTCCACCTCCATGACAGTGGCGTTGTGTCCCTCGCCCCTCGGCTGCAGCAGCTGGTCCGGAGCTGCAAGCACCCATGGGAAACCCGTGGAATTACGCTCGCTCTCAATGTTGACGGTTTTTACTCCTTTGTCGAGGCGTTACGTTATGGAAAAATCAGGGTTGCAAGGACCGGCTAAAAATGGCAAAGAAAACTGAGAAAAAACTGTATGTGTTACGTTCTCTCTCATTATAGATGGGTTTCCCTCCATTTTCGACGATTTATATTATAATTATATACTTATATTTATATTTATATACTATTTACATTCCTATTATTATGCTATTACTAATAAGAGCTGCAAGGACTGGCAAAAATACGAGAGAAAAAACCGCACGCGTTAACGGATGCTCTCGAAATAGACGGGTTTCACTCTGTTTTCGAGGTGTTACATTATGAAAAAACAAGACTTGCAAGGACTGGAAAAACATGGCAAAAATACGAGAAAAAACTGCATGCGTTTACGGACGCTCTCAAAATATTTTTTTTTACTTTATTAAAAAATGGCAAGTTAATGTCGATCGCAATGCACGGTTAAAGCTGTGTTAGGATCCACCTCCCTCGAATAGCTGTCCGTACAAAGGACACCGCAGTGGCTGCTTGTGAGTGAACCTTATATACAGGTTTGACTGTATATGTAAAACAACACGTCCTGTATTGGAAATGTGTTTTTCCTGTATTGGAAATTTTCCCGCTACTTAACTTGATCACGTCACCGTAAATAATAAAAAATAAAAAAAAGATTTCCACTTTTTCACAAAATATAAGTAATTCTGTTCACATTTTATGGTTAAATTGCTGCATTATACTTCCTATTTTACTATATTGTTCGATGTGAACATACACTCGTGACCCATACATAGCCCATAGCAAGCAATTAATGTTGAGAACATTAATTCAAATTGTCCAGGTTTTTTGGATTTTTAACTAGTTGAGAAACAATCTTATCAGGTAAGAATTTGACGATTTGTTTAGTCCCATTAGTTCTACTTTTAATGTAAAAAAATGGCAATTTTTTTTTTTACAAATTTTACCATAGAAAATTCGTGACTTAGTCCCTTTAAGTAGGATAATTACGTACGTTTGAGTTGATATTATAATGATGTTTATTCACATATTTACACCAGGATCGAGTAAATAATAACAAAGTTTGTTCATAATCACTCCTGATTTATATCTGTACGTATGCAGACATAGAATTGTAGCACCAGGTGTAACGTTTTCAAAGCTATGGCACAGCACACCATCCTACCTACCTAAGGGGTGTGACTGGGGGAATGAACTAGACGTCATTCGACTATAGTAATGAGCCCCTACGTACGTTAACGAGGTGTCACGCTGTCGTGAGAAGGGAGCACCTGTAAACTGTGTATACATATATGGCATCCATGCACACTCGTATACAAACATTTATATGTACGTATGAACCACATGATTCTAATATACGTTATATTTATTCATAATATAGGCGATTGTGAATAAGCCTGAGTGTACCTAGTTATGAATGTAAATACTAGGAAAGAGTATTACTTAAAGTAAGTATTTTAATATAAATAAGAAAAAATACAAGTATTATATGTACATGAAATATATGTATTGCGTCTAGTTTGAAGATTGTAATCCACTATATTACATCATCTGTGCACACGAAACAAACTCTATAACTAATTAATGCAATAGATGTAATGGGGCTTTTCTAACAGTAACAGTGAGTTATAATTGTGTTTTCTTAAAGTGTGCCTTCTGTGTTTCCAATCACAACATGACAATGTGGCAAATCCTTCAGTCAACTTTGGCTCATAGGGTCTATGTCCCCCAGGGTACTATCGGAAGGTACCCTGTATGGGTACGGTTCGATATATCGGGTCGTACCCTGGTAACTATCTGATATGGTTAGGGTTAGGGTTAGGGTTAAGGTTAGGGTTAGGGTTATAGGGTTAGGGAGTAGGCGTAGTCGACTCCCTAAACTCGTTAGTGGAGTAGGCGAGGTACGGTCCGGCATATTAGATAGTATACCAGGGTACGTTCCGATATATCGAATCGTACCCAGGGTATACCATCCGATAGTAACCTGGGGGACATAGACCCTCTCAGCTCAACTTTGCATCAACATCATGGGGCCGGGTTTCACGAAGCGTGATTAACTTTAATTATGATTAAATCACTAATCCTACTTAACCTCCTGTAATTATGATTAGTTAATCATACTTAAAAATCTGTTTCACGAAGCGATTTAAGTACACATTTAACTAATCACATAATTAGCCGACTTAAACATGAATTACACTGTACTCAAAATGGCGGACAACGCCAAAAGTACCTGCAAATTCGGTACATGAAAAAGGAATTAATTTGCTATTATAATGACTAAATTAGTACAGCTAATCTTAGATAATTTAAATTTCCTTAAGAAAAAATGGAAGTAAAATGTCCAATTGTAAAATCTGCAGCCTACTTAATATACTAGTACTACCTACATATACTACTATACTAGTACTATATAGCAACTAATCATGATTAGTGGATTTAATCATGCTCCCGAGTAGAATTAAATATTGTGATTAACTTAATCATGATTAAAGTTAATTACGCTTCGTGAAACAGTCACTTCAATTTAAGTAAGAGAAGTTAATCATGATTAAAGTTAATTACGCTTCGTGAAACAGTCACTTCAATTTAAGTAAGAGAAGTTAATCATGATTAGTTATTTAATCATGATTAAGGACTTAATTACGCTTTGTGAAACCGGCCCCTGATCACCAAAATTTAATAATTAGCCTTAAGAATATAACATCAGTCAGCAACATAAACGACAGCAGCAATCAGAGTTTCCCAGATGTCACTGCACAGAGTTGTAGAAGAACTTGTTAGTTGTTAGTTGCAGAAGAAGTTGTTAGAGGAACTTGATGAGGGCTAAAAAATAAGTCAATACTAACAGTCCACTGCTAGTTTTATTGATTTGTGACATATCTAACAGTAGGCTCGTAGAATCAAAACATGGGGGATATGCTCTCCACAAAGCCTGCATACGCCTTCAGCTATGCTCACAGACGTCCACTCACCCGTTCCCATGGTCCTGCCTGTGACGACTGAACTGTTAACGCAGCCTACATGGTTACATACGCCGATGTGAAACATGTGTTCGGAATACGGTCTGTAGCCGCTAGCGACGTATGACGTAGTCTCATTGTTGGTTGATGAATATATCAGCTGTAACGAGAGAGAGGCAGAAGTAAGGAGAAGTGAGCTCATCGAAATATATGTTTCGCACATTATAGAATCAGCGATTCCAGGCGTCTGCTGTCTGAAACATATTATAATAGTTAGTCTACAATGTCATAACATTTGCACAGTGCTTAATGCTCCAATAAATTTATGATTTCATTACTTCAATCTTCGATTATTTTCAATAACAGGCTGCTATTACCAATTCCGTTTACAAAATGTACTTACAATTAAAACTAGAAAGCAACATCTCAGTATGAGTGGTTGGGATGGCTTACCTGGGCGTATTTCGATAGTGCAAACTCCATGTTACACAGATTTATTACATGTGTAATTATTGGTGTACGTAGGTATACGTACACCATACGCACAGGTATTATATGTACAGGTATTATACGTATGTATAGGCATAAGTGTATGTACAGGTATAAATATCGGTATTATACATAAGTATCAGTGTTCGGACTTACCCAGGCGTACTTGGGCTGTGCAAACTCCAAGTTACACAAGATATATTACATACATAATACATGAATTCTACATCTCGGTATCGGTGTTATTAATGGCTTACCCAGGCGTACTTGAGCGATGCAAACTCCACGTTACACAGGATTCACATATGTAATACATGAACTACAAAAAGCTACGTCTCGGTATCGGTGTTCAGGCTTACCCGGGCGTATTTCGGCGGCGCAAACTCCACGTTGGAGTCGACGTAGTGATAGATGCGGTACTCAGAGATGAAGCCCTGCATCTCATCCAGTCGCGGCGGCATCCACGAGATGTTGACGGCCACGCTGGAGATATCGACGATCTCAGGCGCGTCTACGTGCAGAGGAACTACACACCGAACAACAATGGTGATCGAGTGAAGACGTTATTTATATGTAAATATATATAACTATAAATATATATAATGTAGGTCATTTCCGAGAACGGTGAGTATACGTATATATATATATATTTATATTGATGTATTTATTACTGTAATCAAACATTTTATATGTCTACGTTCAGAGGAACTGCACCAAAAACAACGGTGATTGTTGATGTTATACATATATATATATATACATTTATTTATTTATCATTTATTTAAAAATCATACCGTCTTCTGCTGTCCTGCCACTGATCCAAATGCTTGCTTTCTTCCCTGCACCATTCTCGGAAATGACCTACATTAAAAGATTTAAACTTACAAACAGCACCTATTGATCAAGATTAATAGCATGAGTAGATCTTCATTAAAGGATAACTTTAAAAATAAAATAAATCAAAATGAGGAAAGATGGGGGTTAACTTAGCCCTTATTTATGTAAATATTATCTGATATTATTCTCAAATCATATGTGATGAAACATAAACAACATACTTCGAGATTGCATTACAAGATTCCATCACAAAGTCTATGCTAGGTTGAACATCTGAACAAGCACAATGGCCAATCATGTCCAGACAGTTTCCATGACATTACATATGGTCACATCAGCCACCATGCATCCACAATCCACCACACAAACAACTTTAACTTTCGTGTGAATACTCTACATATAGACACATTTAATTACTCATGCACTCTAACCAAAACATTTCAAACCCAAAATCCAAATGCAAGATCAACTCTCTCTCTCTCTCTCTCTTTTCTCTCTCTTGCTCGCGCACGTGTGCACGGTCCATACCTGGAATTCGTACTCTGTGAACGGTCGCAGGCCAGCCATCGTGTAATTGGTCGCGGGCGGTTCCAGTGGGTCGTCGTCCCCGCGCGAGGGCGCCACCGTAGCAGCGGCGCCAGGGCGGCGCGGGTTGAACCAGCCCGCCGGGTGAAACACTCGCGTCTCCGCCGGCTCGCGGTTACCCAGCATGTCGACCTTCTTACCGCGGAACCACAGCTCGTAGAAGATGATGATTCCTGCGATGCAGCAAACGTCGCGTTGATTATGGATGGAATATAATTATTGGAAGGAATAGAAGTTGGGATACGCAAGGTCGGTTCGCTGTGTGTTCTGCTGTAAGAAGTTTGGCACCGAACATGTATCAATACTATGGAACAGTTAGGGTTAGTTATATACTGTATGTAGAGGATAACACAAAATAATTTTGGAATAAACTTGTGGAATTTATTCCTTCGATTGGGGAAAGGAATTGAGAAAAGATACTTTTTTTAAATCGGATTTTCGCTTAATTCATGATCACGAATTTTTTTAAACATAAAATTTATAAACTTACAAAATAAAATTCGACATTTAAATTAAAATAATAATAAAAAACACCTTGAATAATTATAATAGACTAACAAATCAAATAATTAAATTAAATTAATAAATTATTATTTAATTCCGTTTGCTCGCGTCGCCCGCCCGTCACCCGCCACGCACCGTTAGGTTCATCCGGCGGATCCCAGAAGACGCAGAGTTCGGTCGGACTGAGCGCGGTGATGTTGGGCGGCCGCTGCCCCTGCGGCACTGCCTCCACGCTCGTTATGGCAACCGAATCGCTGTGCAAGCAGCCTCCGGTCGTGCACGCCACCGCCGTGAACGTGTAGTTAGTGAACGGCACGAGCATGTCGACGACGGCCAACCTTTATTATTATTATTATTATTATTGGTCTTGTTGAGAAATTATTATTATTATTATTATTGGTCTTGTTGAGAAATTATTATTATTATTATTATTATTATTATAATTAAATCTTTACTGCATGTAATTTTAATACAAATACATGTACTGAAAACAGTCTTTTTCACAGAGAAAAAACACTGATCAATGCACAGTGTTGAGCAGTTAAAATAATGAAGTTACTGAGTGATACAGTATAAACAGCTGCTCCTATACACATTGGGGAAAAAAATATACAAAAACGACAAAGTACAATCTGTACAATACAAAGTACTGACCTCTCCTCACCGTCCCCGCTCCAGTGCACGACTTCGTCCGGGTAGCTACGCACGGAGGTCGACGCGATCATGTACATCACGATGCGACCGTCGACAGCGCGCTGTCCGCGGCAGTTGAAGGTCGCGGAGCGAGCGCCGACGTCCGAGACTGAGAACGGGAACGGTCCCTCGGGAACGCCGGGCGGGGTCAGGACGATGGTGGTGGAGCTGCGGAGCCGCGACGCCACGGCAAAGTCGTTGCCTCCGCGACTCTACCATGTAGGTGTAGTTGGTGTTCGGCATTAGTTCGGTGTCATTGAAGACGAGATCTACGATCGATATAGTTATAGTTACAGAGATGGTATATATAAATACTAATAGTATAGTTATAGGTATAATATATATACGCACGCCGCGCAGGCGCACGCACGCACGCACACAGTAATATATTTAGAGGTATAGTTATACTATAATTGGGTCTCTCCTGTTAATCCATTTCCACAGAACACAAGACCAGCAACGTACGAATACAACTTCCAGGCTCGAAACATCGAATACAATCAATAATTCGAATACAAAAAGCTAACTATAAAAAGCTGCGAACTTGCTCATTATTTTACATCGAAGACCTGAAACAGCCACAAAACAATCGAATTCGGCTTTCACGTCTCCGGAGCAACCTATCGTGTTCACAGTTACGCGTACAACACTCACCCCACGAAGCAGGAATGTGTGCTAACAGAAGACCATCTCTGTGCAGGTAGTAGTTCTTGATGAAGCCATTCGGGTAATCCGGCTCGCTCCATTTGATCTGCAGGGTCATCGGGTCAAGGACGGTGTAATACGGCGGCGGCTGCTGCGACGGACCTGCAAGCAGGCAACCCCTACTTACAGTCACACACCCTATACTTATAGACAGGTGCATAACACACATATGTATAGTATATGTCGCACTCTCTCTCTCTCTCTCTCTCTCTCTCTCTCTCTGCTCATTCTCTCTCTCTGCTCTCTAAAATATTATATATATATATATATATATATATATATCCAAGGACACTAAATCATTATATATAATATAAAGTCAGATTAAACAAACCAATGTATATTTATCAAAATGAGGTCAATTTTCGACAATCTGGTCGTAATCAAAGTTCATGTATATTGACTAACAGCCCTACATGTGACCCAAGTGGGCAGTATATCAATAGAACAATGCACATTGTTCATTACTACGTCGTTATAGTGCCGTTTGACATCGTGGCTTCAGTGTTTCGCACCGACTCCTTATATGTTATTGTTACAACGTTAAACGTGAGTTGTGTATATGTAAAACCACGTTAACGGCGACGATCTTACGTTTGCTGCAGCCGAACGGGTTTGTGATGTCGAGGTTGCTGGCAGCGGTCACACACGTGTCACACTTGTTTCCCCGTCGTGTAGGGTTTGCAGTCGCACATGCCGTATGCGGATACAGGTCAGGTTCACGCTGCCGGCCGGGTCACAGTTACACGATTGACACCTACGTACGCAAGCACACAGGAACTTACATTATATACATGTATATATACAGGTCAAGTTTACGCCGCGTGCAGGGTCGCAGTTACACGACTGACACAAAAGCACAAGGCATTACGCGCACGCACGACTCGAAGGATCCTGCATTACACGCATGCATGCACCACATACATATATATAATTGTATCTTATCAGTAGGGATGAGATTGGATAATTTAATTTTCAGCTGAAATTTTAATTAGCAAACAGAGGAGCGCGCAATGCGAGGGCATGGTCCCCCGGAATTTTTTAAAAAGAATGGTGACAATGTTGGGTGCATTCTAGCTATTCTTGAACAAATTATAGGGAGAGCTCTGTGACAATGCCCTTGTCAAGTTGTCAAAAGGAACAACGGAACTATAATAGCGAAATGCAGGGGGGCGTGAAAATAGGGCAAGGTTTTTTTTATTAAAGTGTCTATCGCATAATGATCATTTTCTGTTTGCCGACCGCGTCGCGCTTGCGATTGTTTTACTCAGACATTAACTGCTTGCTGCGACGGAGCATTTGTAATGAAAAAACAGCAAAAATGTGAACAATCAGTGGTGCATAGTCATGTACACAACAATGCAGCACCAGGCAACAGTAAGACACGCCCCAGGCCAGGCATGGTCCGTTACGTGTCAGCATAGCCTCAAAATGTCTGCCGCCTCTAGCTCGCAGCCTGTGATACAGAGGATTGTTACTTTCTCTGAGCGCCAGAAAACAGATAGCACTATACTGGTATACTCGCTGTCAGCCTACTGTCTATCAGCTCTAAGTCTACAGTCCAGGTGCTGTTGAGGGTAATACTAATTTAAGATTGTTTACATTGTTACCCCCCTCCCAACTTTTTCCTCACGAATCTTAGACGTTTCCACAAAAATCGCACTCAGCGCTGGGTACTTTCACTTCAATAGCGGCGGGATTTACCGAGGATCATTCCGCGGATCCGCGGAAGAATCTCATCCCTGTATAAGTATTAATTGTATATCTTGCCTCTGTATTGTAATAAGATGCCTCAATATTATCTGCACAGTAAACTTTGATCACATTCAGTTGTGAAAAATGATATCTCAGTGAGATATCTCTAATAAATGCTGCTCTTTCTCTCACAACCACATTTTTACTAGCTGGCATACAGTCAAAAACCCACACATACTCACAAGCGCATACGTAGCTGTACTTTCACTCCCACTACAGGGTGTGAAACACTACACGGGTAGAGCTAACACGCATGCGCAAACACTGCCAAGTGGAATACAGGACACGATATAATCGAATCTCTCTATGGTACTATAACTTCTAGTACGTAACTACACAATTACTTCTAGATACAATATACAATAACAGAACCTCTCTCACTACCTGCCAATGCCGCGATCGTAGTGGTGGTAGCCGGGCATGCACTGGTCACAGCGTTTCCCCGTCACGCCGCGTCCGAGCTCCACGCACACGCACTGGCCGGTCAGCGAGTCGCACGTTGTGCCCTGGACTGTGGACAGGAAGCTGCAGCCGCACTCCAGACAGCCTCGCCCGCGCTGATTCACGAAGTAACCTGCCGACAGAAATGCGACAATGAAACCTACAGGAACGTACACTGGGGAGTACACGTGCGGACAGACCGGACATGCATTGCTGGAGAGAGCAACTTGAAATTCTAGTTTGGAATTGGTAACTTTTTTTCCCTGTCGATAGAAATATGACCATGAGTGGACGCGAAAATGCAGACGCACCGGACTGGAGCAGATGTTGGAGAGAGAGCAGCCTGACCTCTAGGCTGGGATTGGTAACTTTTGAGGCGGGCTGGATAGATTTTTACGGATTTTACTGTGGGCTATGAATCAAGGTTTGTTAAATCATGACTGGCCAGGTTTTCAGATATATTTCGAAGGCTGAGGACGTGCACTCGGAAAAATATCCAAGCCCTGATAGATAGAAGATAGGAGATTTGAGATAAATGAGGCTAAACTCCCGCTAAGTGACAACAAAATGTCAAATTCAGCTATGTCTTACTATATTATTAGACTGCACAATATCAGTCATTCGTATTAATGCAAGTATATGCCACTGAGTTTATATTTTCCAATTTTGCCACACAGATCTGCTAGTATAATTGTATTTATTCCTACGTATTTATGCTTGCCATTAAAAAGCCGACAAGTGCTTTAATGTTAATTGCTTCAATTTAACAAATTTGTTTGTCGATATATTATGTTAATATTTGGTCAGATTCACTAACTCAACCCAGTGTATAAACATTCATTACCAACAAACATTTTGTCGAACTACGATAATTGATACTGGTCGAGTGACTGTTATTTATTAAGCAATTACTGCAATGGCAATTAGTGGGCTAGCTGATAGCTTAACATCAATCCACAAAATCTCAACTCTGCATAAATTATGCATGCAATACAGTGCATTAATAAATAAGCGCTCTTACATGAATATAACATGATGGCAGTGGAAAACCTACGACCTTCCTATTCTGCTAAAGAATGCAATCAAAGATCCTACAGAAATTACATAACTATGCTGCTTTCACTTTTACACACCGGGAAACCAGTTTGGAGAGATTTGGAGACTTAGTCATTACTAGTAAACTTATGATAATGCACTTATAGCAAGAAGTGCAGTAGTCTATATTATCTGACCTTCAGTTATCCTACATTACCTTCAACCCTACATTTCCTATATTTTTTGTAGTCTATAAACTATTAATATTACAATAAAGAGATATCAGAGTGACACATCCTCACAAAGCTATCTAGCTGCTACCTACTAGTATATAGGCTGTATTGTATACTTCACTAGTAGCTACGCTATATAAGTAGCTTGTATTTTGCAGTCTAATAATAAGATTACAACTCATACAAGTAGCTTGTATGTTTTACAGTCTAATAGTAATCGTAAATCTATTACAAGTAGTTCATATATTTATAGTCTATACAGACTATTATGACGATAATAATAAGTATATTAATAATAATTAATAATAATTATTATTATAATAATGATAATAATAATTACAATAATTGTAATAATAATGACAATAATAATAATAATAATAATAATAATAATAATAATGAGATATCTGACATACGCACCTCTCGCGCAGTTGTCGCACGTGCGTCCGATGCGCTCGGGCATGCAGGCGCACTGCCCCGTGTTTGCATCGCACGTCAGGTTGTTCCCGGGCACGTCGCCTCCCTCCGTGCCGTACGGATCACAGTCACACGGCTCACAGCCGTTATCGTTACCAATAGAGAGACCCCAGCTGTTCTGCTGGCAGCGGTTACACTCCTGTATGACGAGAGAGAGCGTGTGAGAGGGGGAGAGGGGGAGAGAGGGGAGAGAGGGAGAGGGAGAGGGAGAGAGGGGAGAGAGAGAGACCGAGACCGAGACCGAGACCGAGACCGAGACAAAGAGAAAGTGAATGAATGAGAGCGGGGGAGAGAGAAAGACAGGAGAGAGAGAGTGAAACGATGGGGACTTTCATCCCATGGGACAACCCGGTGACTGGGTTACATCATGAACCTGTATCTAACCAAGAGAGCATCACGAGAGCATAACCTTGTCGCCGGGTTACATCACAGTCTACACCGAGAGCATCCAGGGACACCGAATAAGTTATAATATGTAGGACGTATTATCAGGGTGTGAAATTAACGTGAGTCCGGAGTCAAATACTCCCTGATTTACTGTCGGACTCCCTGATTGGACATATGCAGGAGTCCGTGTGACTCCCTGAAAATTCTGCTATACTAAGTATAGTTCGTTCCAGAGCACGACCTCGCGGAATTACAGTATTTCTACTTCTACTTCTATACTGGACAGTCCGTAAGGAATAAACGTCCAGGGCTATAGCTAGCCATGGGGTGTGACCTATAGCTTGGGTAAAGCCAGATAGTTAGCCTTTTTTAGCGGAATGGCACTGAGGGTGGTCACAGCCAGAGTTTTTTTTTGCACCCTCAGTGGTTCTTTTACGTCCCCATTGGCCTTAGTACGACTGGAGACGGGACCGCCATTTTACGTGGTCATCCGAGCCACGAGAGATTCACAGTCTCCAATGTTGAGAGCCAGGTTTTTACACCTTGAGAAAATTCACTGCCCCAGCCAGGGTTTAAAATTACAGCCTTCAGTGGACAGTATACATGGCCTAACCACTGGGCCACGAAGGCTCACCTTGTACAGTACAGTATATTTTCCAGCAAATCTTTAATTTTGAATTTCAGACACTGCTCTTTTTGAGGGCAGGGAGTCCGTCGGACTCCATTATTCAAAAGTTCATTTCTACTATACCCCTGTATTATATACATAAGTTGCCGGTTACACTAATGAGCAGAGTTTACGTTTGGCGTCACCGGGTGGCAGCACCTTCTCCTCACCTTGCCGACGACGCTGCTCTTGCAGACGCACGTTCCCGTCGTCTTGTTGCAGAAGGTCGTCCCGTTGACTGTACCCGCACTGCTGCAGTCGCAGCTGAGACAGCCGAGGGCAGGCGAGCCGCCCAGGTCCCAGAATTCATCAGCACACTCGTCACACCGCGTACCGACCACGTTCACCTGGAAGAGCAGCGAAGGTCACGGTCAAGGTCAAGGTCAAGGTCAAGGTCGAGGTCATGGTCAAGTTCAATGTGGGAAAGAAAAAACACGAGAATCGCACTGTGGCGGTGTTAGAGAGAAACATGTGAACATCACTGCAGTGATGTTAGCGAAAAATTGAAGAAAAGCACTGCGGCGGTATTAGCGAAAAACATGTGAACATCGCTGCAGCGATGTTAATAAACAATGGAAGAAGATCGGCTTCAGCGATGTTAGCGATAAGCATGTGAGCATCACTGCCATGAGGTGAGACATGGCTGCGTGTGAAAAACAAACACATGAACAGCACACCGATACAGTTAATTATGGAGCGGAAACTATCATATAATGTGTATATATACTGATATATGTATATGTGTATAGGTATATATATATATATATGCATACTAGCCGGGTAACCGGCGTTGCAAGGGGGAAACCGTTAGGAACTTTTAGAGCAAATTCAGCCACATATATATACTTAATTCTAAGGATAGACTCGCAACAGAGAAACAAACAATATGCAATATTCTGACAAAAACAGTTCGAACAATTCTACGATTGTGTAGTGGAAGCTTCTGGATATACAATATTGTTATGAAATTGCGCCAAGTTATTATGAATATGCCTCTGGCTGTGCAAGCCTTGTTTCACCCTTTAAATACACAATTGGTGACATCTGTCACGTGTCTCTCTTATCATTGGGATTCGCTTTACATCAAAATAATACATGAAAACTAAACTAAATACAAAGGTCAATAAACTAAACCCGGCAATATAGCACAATATCAGATCAGGGTATATAAACACAGTTTCCAACTTGGTTCTTTCTTCTTCTTGCTTCTAATGCAGTATACAGTATATTAATGTCTTTCTTCTTCTTGCTTCTAATGCAGTATACAGTATATTAATGTCTTTCTTCTTCTTGCTTCTAATGCAGTATACACTACTTCACTGCTGCACCAACCCTGTCGCACCTTCAATGTCACATGTACAACTGACTCACTGGCAATCCAGAGAGACATGATACAAGATTGCGTGGCACAGCTTTGCTGTTGATCATGAGCGCTGTGCGCGGATGAGACGCTCAGTTCCGTAGGATATGCGCACGCGACCGCGGGGATGTTCAAGTATGAAGCGCTGTCCGCAGTGGAGATGTGCGCCAAATTCGAGGCCCGGCGCACGTCTCCACAGCAGTCAGCGGATGGTCTGTAGTTTTAGAAGATAACAATGAAGACTTTGTTCTAAATAAGAACTATCGCCGGCTAAATAAGAGCAATATATACACCTTTGAATTTCTTGACTAGTGAGTCAAAGGGCTTGTTGGGGGTCCATTATGCAGAGCTTCCAATTGAAATGGCCCATAAAATTGTCAAGTGAAATTGTGTTTTTCGGAACCCCAAAGAAAATGTCTCCCTCTTACATGTATGCACCCCCTCCCTGATCAATCACGCATTCAGGCATAAACAATAACAGAGATGAAATTGTGTTGAGTTTGTGGCTCTTGACGCACGTGCATTGACGTACAAGACCGTTGAAAGCACAGGCACTTGGACCGTCTCAATAAAAACAAATATTCACACAATTTTTCAAAATGATCGACCGCCTGTGTGCAAAATAGGTAAACGTATGTGAAACATATACGGTTAATCAGTACTTACTGTGACATATCCGTGACTAACTGACACCACTAAATTGGTTAAATGTTCCATGCAGAAACGTGATGAAATGCTGAGAAATTACGAGGTTATCATTGCAGAACTCCCAAACACTGTACGTCACAAAGCTATATGTAAACAAACACGCGTGTTGCGAGGTGCCTGTCTCCGATATCCATTTCGAGGACCGCTAAGCCAAGCATAAAGCGTGCGGGCAAGACGTCACACACACAGCTACGTTCATTGGCTAAAACAATCGAGTAGCGCGGTTAGGGATTTTCGGAATTATTTAATTTGAAGAAAAACTTCAATGTCAATGAATGACGCACTCGTTCACTTCCGACAGCGATTGAAAATGCCGAAAACTTCAATGCGAAATGCATCGGCCGGGCATTTCATTATTTACGAAAAGTAAACAGGCTGGCGAAAGACAGTAGGTACAGTAACTGGTCACGTCGGTGACGCCCCATTCATATGTCCATCAACAAAGAAGGCGGGGCTTATTCTGATTACAGAAATGCGAAAATTCAACAGAAGGACGTAGCGCAGTGCACTAAACAGCGTGTTATTTTCGTATTTGTGGCAAACTCTATCGTAGGAAACCGTTCTAACATAGCAGAATGCCCTAGTTCCTGCATAGATCGGCGATTTGGTGGTCCAATAGGTCCCCATCTTTAAAAATATAAAAGACTGGTGCGGCGTATGCTGTGATTAGAAGACACAACGTGTCAATCCTCGGCGTGCCTCGGCATCATGGCCGCATCACGTCGAGAAACACCACATAACGCCTGACATTGAAAACGAAACTGAAACGGAAATCTGCCAGCATTTCTGGCGTAACGCACTGGCAAGTCTACGTTTATTTCCTTTACACCCATGCTATCGTAGAATGCATTGTGCATTTCGATACTTTTAAAGTATATTACTTGCTTTTAAATAGTAGTTTTTAGTGTATCCTTTTAAATGTGCTTAGGCCACCCTCAGGGTGATCACTTAACAGTGTGGCAATTTTGGGCATCCTATACCAATAAACGGTGGAATGCATAGACAGAGTTCGTTTTTGTAGTAGTGTAGACAGACGCACGCACGCACACACATTTATATTAATATATATATATTATTTTGCCAATAAAGATCAGTAGAATACAGATTAGAAAAATCAGAATGCTCACCTCATTGTCATTTTAAATAGCTTAATAACTTAATTTTACAATAATGACTGTAATTATTATATTAATCACCATATCTTTTCGCACCACCTCCCAGATATATCTACTATACACACAGACACTAACCTTGCACACGCACTGTCCCGAGTTCTTGTTACAATAAGTGCCAGGTTCGGTTCCTAGTGCATCACAATCACACAACCGGCAGCCACCTACAACATACAACCAATACCGAGTGGTAAGAGCACACAATCGATCAAGCCATTTATCCAGAGTTAGTCGAACGACTGTTGTTCAGTCAAACAGCTCAACAACATACTGGTGAGGTTAATCTAACTAGACGAGTTTTAAAATGTGACTGCGAAATGTTGACTGTGAAACGATGTGAGAGTGACTTCAACTAGATATTGTGAACTGCGTGTGCGTTGTGCAGACACGTGTGTGTATATACAGTTGTCTATGCGTGGAGCCACAGCATATCTGAGTGTGTGTGCGTGAGTGGTCGTGTGTGTGTGTGTGTGTGTATTATCACACATTCAGAGTGCCATGATTGTGAGAAGAATAATGTACATATAAGTGACGTTATATCGATTATGTACATTTACAGTGGATCAAACTCATGATAAATGATATACTGTTGACAATTTATGGCAAAATTACACAGTACTTTAAGAGTTGGAAATGAACTTACATTACAATGAATAATTACACGTAATCCATTATATTTACACTCAATCATACGAACTGTAAATAAATGTTGTCAGTAGTGCAAGTTTTCTTAATCAGAAACAGTAGTAGTAGTTCTCAGAAGATCTGTAACAATGCAATCCAGTATTCTTTACAGTAAGAAAAAACCGTGTTTAATAGTATATGACATACAGGTGTATTATGTGTCAATGCCACACACATCATACACATGCATGTATGTATAATCACACCAGATTAGTGATTATTACAAAGTATTTCTTGCAAGAATTATATTAACATCATTGACCACAGCGAATTGAACACAACAACCAGTAACGTATACAGCATACTACTGTAGTAATTTAACCGATGTGTCACATCCTGATTGGTCGGTTAGGTTCAAGCTTTTAGTTGCTTTATTATTTTCAAAATAGCTTTCATGAAGGTTAACGATGGAATAACGGTTTCACCCTGATCCACAGATCATTTGCAAAGATGCAATTTGTTTTTCTCTGAAGAAAAATTTTGTTAATTTTCAACTATCAACATGTACTTTGATATGGCACTTGCAATTTTACCTAAGAGGTTTTAAACTTTAACATGATGGGATCGGAGGCAGGAAAATTAATCACTAAAACAAGGCTGTTAATTAAGTCTGCCCAGCGTGACTCCGTGCACATATAACTCTATCTGAGATGACAGCCACGTCGCAAAAACGACGTGCAAGACTGGAGAGTCTAACGACATAACACAGCAAAAATAAAACGCACAGAATGGAAATCAACGTAAAAACAAACGTAGGATCGTGCCTAGGCGATTGACTACAAGATGCCAGCTAGCTGCGACTTACTCAGACCACGAATGTGGCTGCTAGTACAGCCCTCAATAACAGGATCAGCAGCGGACCTATTCTCGCAAGAAACTGTCGGCGAAAACCAAAAGTTTAAATGCAAAGTCACACAAACGCAAGTCATCAATGGCGGATGATGGCTTGGTTTACGTGCGCACATACACACATATACACATACATCGCATGCATGCTCGTCGTTTTGTAATTGTGCCACGCGTTACAATCACAAAATCACGCTCAGTTGATAAACTGCACCAGTGCTGTCACAGCAGCATCAACTACAAAATCACTACGGTCTACCAATTATCAAAACCTAGCATAGCGGCTAAACAAAATCGCTATGTACTCCATGAACGCATGCATACACCTCGGGTTACGCACGTTCATGTCGACATGCACCTAACACAACGACTTCACGAGAGACGATATCGAGTGTGTTTCAAAACGATACGCACACACACACACACACACGGTTCTGCACAGCGAGATAGAGATGCACAAGAAATACGAACACGCAAAAAATGCGGCGAGGGGGGACGTCACGTTACCTTGGAATCCGTAGAAACCACTGTGACAATCGTCACACATGCGCCCCGTGATGTTGCCCTTACACAGACACTGTCCGCTTATCGGATCGCAGTAGATCATCGACGAGCCGAGAGGATTGCAGTTACACGGACTGCAGCCCTCTGTTTTGGAGCGAGCGAGGTCGTAGTAACCATACTTGCACTGGTCGCACTTCACACCTAGCAACCAAACAATAAATAATACAAGGATAAACAACGTTGTAACTACGGATAAATTCCACCAAGCAAGAGCACGGTAAAACCAGTGAATCGATAGAAACCATTAATGTAGGTATTTTGTGCTAACGAGCGTTTAGTTATATCATATGGAAACTGCTGAATGCCAACTACCTATGTTTGGAATCTAAGAATATCATAGGTGCAGCAGAGATATTAGTGACCCGAGGAATCGGGTGCCTGACACCAGTCTTAAGGTGAGAGAGAAACTACGTTTTCCATATGGCTCTTAATAAGTAACACGTCTTTTTAATTCTTTCTCTTTTATAAACTCGTTTCTACATGTTAAACTGTTGATGAACCCGTTTTGGTTTGTGATGCTACCATGGATTAGACGGGTGTGTGGAATGTGTGTCCGTTTGACATGTGCGTTACCATGGTTCCTAGACGCCATACGAGCGTATATACATAGGGATTTCACTAGCTGTGTGCGTACTACCTTACAGATTAATCTTAGACAGGCACTGCACATGCGTTATTGCAGATGCTAGATGCCAGATGGGTGGACATCAGGTATTTCACTAGCTGCACTACCTTACAGATTAAACCTAAACTAAAGCTGTGCTGTTAAAGCAGCGACACGATCGTTCCCTGCTAAAGCTTGCTCACCCATGACGTTGGGTTTGCACTGGCACTGGCCATTGCTCTGATGGCAGGACATGTTTCCGCGCATCACCCCGCTGGCGTCGCATCCACACGACTCGCATCCGAACGCATTGGAAGAGCGGAGGTTGAAGAATCCGGGCTTGCACACGTCGCAGCTACGACCGTCGACGTTCTCCTTGCACTTACACTGCCCGCCGACCTGACAACGTAAAGAATGCGCGTGATAACAACGAGGCAGAGGCCGTGGCAGCGGCCTGCCTACGGCTTGTAGAACAATTACTACTTGCTAAGGGTAAAGCAGTACCTGATGATTTATATGGATAGTATACGAGATGACAAACTGTGATGGGAGTACTGTCCAGTTGGTTTTATCGCTATATTTATGAGCTGATATATTACTCGTTATTTGTATTCGCTAATTACAGAGAAAGCTCGTTAGAACCTGCAGTGAAGTAACTGCCGGTTGGAACATCTGCCTGGCATGAATGACAGATGGTTTTAGCCAATCAAAGTTGCGACAATATGTTCTAAACACAATGCATAGTAATGATGTGCATCGATATTTGTACAATCAGCAGACATTACAAACTGGATTAGAGGGAGCATGGTTATCTCGCTTATGCCAACAGATCAATTTACAATAAATTACATTCATCAATTACAGCCGCGCCCCGACCAACGACAAACCGTCGACGAGATAAAGACTTTTTGGGGTGAACCTTTTTACATGTGAGGTCCGTTCCGTCTACTCCTACAGCCGAGCAATCGCACGGCTGACACACGTCCACCGCCGTCATGTCCTTGCCGATCGGACGGAAGAAGTTTACATTGCAGGATTCGCACTGCCTGCCCTCTGTGTTGTGTTGGCAGTTGACACATACGCCACCGCCACCTATCCAAGTAAAAATTTAACAAAATATTAATTATATTAATTTAATTCAATTTAAATCAATTTCAATAAAAAATAATATGAGTGAAGTATAATTACATTATATAGTTTTAATTAGGACTGTAACAAATACACTATAGGTCACGAATACGATACGTATCACAAAGTATGCATGCATGCGAATACGAATATTTCACGAATACGAATACTTACTTGTTGATGCTGTAAATGTGTAATGTCGTGTGTGTGTGTGTGTGTATGTGTGCGTGCACGCGTACGCGCGTACGTGTGTTTGCGTGTGTGTGTGTGTGCGCGTGCGCGTACGTGCGTGCGCGTGCGTGTGCGTTGTTGTCCGCTATGCCTCCGGACAACTTTCGTCCGTTAACGAACAACTTTTAGTGGACGTTAGTGAAACATGCTACCGCGCTACGCGCTTGCGATCGATCGAACCCTGTACTTCAATCAAAGGCGCCGCTGCCGCGCACATGTCCCGAAAAACGCGGCATGGCTGTGTCACATTTTCGTAACATCACTGTACACGTGTATATCACATGTCAACAAGAAAACCGCAGTACTGAGCTGGTTACGGTATGATAATTCTAAAATATTACACCGCAATAATATCGCAATACCACTGCAACCCTAGTATCCGTCCCTTCTCACACGCTCGATATGAGGTGAGTTACACGTGATAGTAATTAAGATACACATCCCGGCCTTCTCGACGTGTGAGAAGGGACGGGTACCAGTCTAGGTGCGTTCACGGGGAAAGCTGCAAACGACATTCAGAATTCGAACAGATCGGCGTAGAATTGCAGTTTAAAATTTTTTTTTTCAAGTAGGTTCCATTTATATTATTTGTATTTGTCAGTATTCGAATAATGACGACGCGAATAACAAATATGTATCGTCCAACAACAATATTCGGTGCGCAGAATACGCGAGTGTATCGTTACAAACCTAGTACAGTCTTAATATATATTTACGTTAATTTTATTCAAAAGCACATCGTGAACTTACGCTTGCAAATTAATACACGTAGACAAATTAGGTCTCACATGTTAGTGGACATACTACTGATTACTTCAGCATACAAATTACCATGAGTTTGTGCTGTCATAAGATATAAAACATGTGAAATCCTTGCTTTAAGTTTAATACTGTGAACCGACTCCTTTGCGATCTATGAGCGTGCTATGAACTTACCGAGGTGGTAGTGGTGAGGGAACGGGTCGAGAGTGTCATTGTAGTAGCAGGCCTGCGCGTGCTCAAAGCATTCACACCGCTTGCAGGGATACGCGTTGATCTGATCTCCATCTCTGTAGGGCTTGTCGTTATACATCTGCATGCATCTGTCACACTACAAGGTAAGAACAACAAGGTAACAGTACGAGCAATACCAAAGTCAGCCGATTTAGCCACCAGAAATACAGATTCAACCGCATCTGTACAACTAAAGCAATATTACCATACCAGCACAGATCAAAACTTCATCTATCGTCATTGCATCGTCAACTTTTAAACCCATGATTATAATTAGGGTCAGAATTGAACATGTTATTAAGGAATTAAAACAGTCACATCATAGAAGAGGATGAAATTGATGACACTATTTTATTTCTAGTATTCTATTTGACATACTTACTCACAGATATAGAAGTGATACAGTAAATGTAGGTAAATACAGGTAATTTGTAGGTAACAGGTAAGTGAAAATGTATTGACACTGAGGTAGAGCACACCTGTACACCTTCCGTATGACTCCGTGAATCACAGTGACATTTGTACGGCACAGCGTCTTCATCACAGCTCTCTGCGTGTCCATGACAGTTACACCTGTTACATAGATGTAGGTATGTTACACACACCCTACATGACAGTTACACCTGTTACATAGATGTAGGTATGTTACACACACCCTACATGACAATTACACCTGTTACATAGATGTAGGTATGTTACACACACCCTACATGACAATTACACCTGTTACATAGATGTAGGTATGTTACACACACCCTACATGACAATTACACCTGTTACATAGATGTAGGTATGTTACACACACCCTACATGACAATTACACCTGTTACATAGATGTAGGTATGTTACACACACCCTACATGACAATTACACCAATTATATAGATGTAGTATGCTTTACAAGTTTACCCTAAATACTAGGGGTGAAGTATTGCGACCAAAAAACGTATTGCAATATATTGCAATACGACAAAACCGTATTGCCATATTTTCCAATACGTATTGGGAAGTGTATACCATGCCATGATATAGTAACAATTTGATGGTTTAATATCATCATATATTGTATTATATGACATGATTTAATTTCTCATGTTTTTTTCATTGAGAACAAGAAGCACGGCAATGTTTTCCGCTGACAGTGCAGTCAGGCGCTCGCAAATCCATTTTGAATTGTCGGGGGGGGACACCAGTAGCAAACACGCCGAAGGGGGTGGGGCGGGAATTTTTGAAATTAGACCCCTCAGATGCGTTTTCTGCGCGAGGCAGGGGGGGTCCCCTGTGCACGCCCCGAACACACACACACACACACACTTCACACACACGCACGCACGCACGCACGCAGGCACGCACGCACGCACGCACGCACGCACGCACGCACGCACGCACGCACGCAACGCACGCACACGCCACACCACACACACACACACACGATTTGGTTGTGATAAGATTTACTGAAAGGGTGTCCACATGCAGTCATAAAAATCAAGAAAACAAAAAGCAGAAACCAATCATTTTGTGTTGAGCTGCTGGATCAAAATAAATTGTCCGTTGTTATTGTGGTCCAGTCATATCATATATGCGTGTATATATCATCATCAGTTGCCATGGAAATACATTATTAAAACCGATGCTCAGCTTTACTAAGTGGTCTCTTTGCGATGAATATAGCTCGTGGTTCCCAGCTGAATCATTGTCTAATGATATGAGTGATATCTCCTAAACTTTCCAATAAACTACTTTCTCTTGATGGATCTTCTGCATGAAGATTTATTTAATATGAGCAAAAAAAAAGCGTGTTAAAAAAAACGGTACTAAATTTATCAAGAAACATTTCTCAAGTTTGTGCAATGATTATTATTATGCTCTCACAATGACACTTGAATGAAATGAAAAGCTGGGCCAAAAAAAGGGAAAGAAGCCAATTCGTTGAGCACTATCACACAATAAAAAGGTTCTCACTTCACAAACACACCACGCGAATTTCACACGCACGCACGCACACACCGACGCACGCACACACGCACACACCACAACGCCACACACAAAAATCATGGTGATCCAAAATCGTGGGGGCGGCGACATTTGATATGATGTCCCCCCTCTGAAAATTCAGTGGGGGGGACATGTCCCCCCTGTCCGCCCCCGGATTTGTGCCCCTGAGTGCATCCTCGTGTGCCGGCTAACAATGTCACTCCGCTGTACTTGAATACCCCTCTCGAAAGGACCACTGCCGCTGGCTGGAATCACACAATACCGCCTGCTGCATAATTGGCTAATACTGGAATACTGAAACTGGAAACTGAAACTGAAAACTGAACACTGAAACTGAAACAGTGCCAGTGGGTGCTCGCTTCATTTGTATCGCGCGCGCGCGGCAGGGCACTCGCAACAGGTGAGGCATAGGCTATATTATACGATCCTGGTTGCCGCTGATCTCTCCTCGCTCAGACGTCTGCCCACTACTGGCCGCAGTAGTACCGCCCGCAGTGCTCCACGCAGTGTCACTTACCAGTATATACTTATGCGTCGTGTAGGCATTGTGCTTTCGTAATATATATACACCGCCAGTGGCATAATTTTCGAACCCCATTCAACAATATAGACGATAAAGGCAATGTCAAGTAATTATATTTCTTGTTATACCGACCGTATCGTAAAATATCGGATATCCGGAAGTTGTATCGCGATAATATCGAGTTTTCAAACTATATTGCAATATCCGTATACCGATATACCGGTATATCGTTACACCTCTACTAAATACCATGTAACCTGTTGCCATGTCGTAAATGTTGCTAGGGTACAAAGTTCGCTTGCTGGCAGATGCAGGATTGGGTTGATAAACTAAATTTGTTACAGGTAATAGCGTGAACACATTTATACTGACAGAGAGAGAAGTGTTGATGAGGTTCATATGCATACCTGGCTGTCACGATGTACTCATATAGACCAAAGTAACGGTGTCTGGAGAGGTCATTGCTGGGGTCAACGTAGAAATGTCCCTGAAGCCTCACTCTGACCTACAGATGCATGGTGGGTAGGAGGTATGAATAGTGTTGATGTTAATACGGTTGAGGTATCAATAAGGTTGATTGAAATATGGTTACCTTTAGATTTAGATTAGATTAGATATCACAATTAGTTTTAATAACTTGAGAAAACTCTTCAAAGCAAGCGGCAGCTTATTACCTCCGCCAAGGGGTTGGCAGGAGGTTATGTTTTCACCGGCGTGTGTTTGACTGTTTGTTGGTTTGTGGGTTTGTGTACAGCCTAACTGAAAAAGTTATGGACGGATTGTCATAAAATTTTCAGGATAGGTCAGAAATCGCCTAACTTAGAATTGATGAGATTTTGGTGGTGATCCGGATCCAATTAATTAATTAACAAAAAATTTCACTTCATTAATTAATTAATAAATAAAATTTCCCACAGTGAGAGAATTCAGCTGCCTTGGCGCAGGTCTGTGCTCTCCGAGTGCTCTAGTTCATTATAGATTCTATCATCACTTATTTTTAGTTGGTACACTATGAATGTAAATTCAATGTGTAATTTCAAGGAAAAACAACACCTCTATTAAACTATACACTAGCACTGGTGATTTTTTCTCATAACTTGTGTGAGAAAACACAATTATATTTTGATGTTCTACTTCTTGCTATTTTCGCTAATAAGAATACCTACCTCGACGGCCTTGACAAATTCTTTCAGCTCGACAGAGTTGTAGAAGATGTTGTGAGAGGGTCTTGCCGGTGGGTCCGGTGACAACAGGTTGAAGGTGATGTTGCCTTTAGAGTATGGCACTGAAGCACTGCAAAGCATAGAAGACACCCATTACTTATTTACATATTATCACCTACATGCTTATTGCCATACCATTCATAACCGTAGACAATGCTACATTCAGAATAGCCTGATGATACATTCAAAAATTATTATTGAACACAACAAATTAACAGACAGTTTTCTTCATGTGCACCAGTGGCAGTTATAGCGACATTTCTGGCACATTGATTTTCATATGGTCAGTGAAACTTTGCAGTTATAGAACAGAGTAATATAGCTGTAGAGCTATATTAGCAGAGTAATTGCCGCGAACAGAGACGACCACTGTACGTCGCATTCATCAACCTGACCAAGGCCTTCGACTTGGTCAACAGGAAGGGCCTCTTCACTTTACTGCAGAAGATTGGATGTCCCCCCAAGCTCCTCAGGATGATCACATCCTTCCATGAAGGCATGCAAGGAACCGTTCAGTATGACGGCTCGTCCTCGGACCCTTTCCCAATCAAAAGCGGAGTGAAGCAAGGCTGCGTTTTTGCTCCAACACTCTTTGGAGTCTTCTTCTCCCTGCTACTGTCCTATGCCTTCAGCCAGTCAGAGGACGGAGTATATCTCCACACCAGAAGTGACGGTAGCCTCTTCAACCTTGCCCGCCTCAGAGCAAAGACCAAAGTGCGGCACATACTCATAAGAGAGATGCTCTTCGCTGACGGTGCAGCCTTGACGGCACACTCCGAGGAGGCCTTACAGCGACTCATCAACTGCTTAGCTCATGCATTCAGGGAGTTCGGCTTGACCATCAGCCTCAAGAAGACCAACATACTCGGACAAGATGTGAGCAGCACTCCAAACATCTCCATTGGCGACTTCACCCTCGAGGTGGTGGAAGAATTCACCTACCTCGACTCCACCATCTCCAGAAATCTCTCCCTGGACACTGAGCTCGACAAGCGGATTGGCAAAGCCGTAAAAGCCATGACTCGCTTAGCAAAAAGGGTGTGGGACAACACCATGCTTACCATCAACACCATGCTTACCATCAACACCAATATGCAGGTGTATCGAGCCTGCGTGCTCAGCACACTGCTCTACGGCAGCGAAGCATGCCTATGAATCTCAGTGCGTGAGTCTAACCTGCCGTTCACCGTCTCATACTGCAGACAGTTGATGTCAGTGGGGCCACGCAGCTGCCCCCTGTTGGGCAGTCCAAACCTCATCATGCAGTCGTCTGCATAGTACTGCCACGGCTCCCACTCAGACTGCGGCGACGTCTTCCTCTCAACGATGACGGCCCGCGGCTGCGGACTGTAGAACTGTAGCATGACGAAAAACACCTGCAAAGATGTTAATTAATGATTAACAATAATAATGGGGGCAATCGGTTAGTCAAGCCTGGTAGATTTGTACACGGAAGCGAACGATTTGTTTGAGAAAAAATCGTGGCCGGAACGATTAGGTTAGTAAAATTAAAATAGAATTTAAATTACTATTAACAATCAATGAAATTTAATAAAATCAATCGAAATTAATTAAACAGCTACATGTTTCGTACGGAAGAACGACAGCCAAAATTTACTTTTTTCTTTGGTGTTTTAGGTTTTCTGGCTAGACTTTTCAACCAGAAAAGTGCAGTTACTTTCACTTTTCCGGCAGCTGATGCGCACGTTACAGAAAAGCAGATACGCGTTAATTTTGACATCCCGTTACGACGTACTGACGAATGTAAATATATTCATGCGTATTGCATATTTCCCATTCCCACACCTGATATTACCATAATTGTTTATTCATTCATATTCCCTAGTGAGCATTTGCAGGCATACGAGTTTGCATCACAGTACTCCACAACTAGCCGCGGTGATTGAACATCCGCCGACACAGAAAAACCAAATAATGGTCGAGAATCAATACACTAATTATTTGCCTGACCTGTTAACCTGACGTCGTTATGGTTACGTTGATCCCTGGCCTACGCGCACGCACGCACGCTCGAACAAAGTCATCATTAGCTTCAGCTAGCGTAACACGCATTACGCACGTATCCACTACACGCTTATAATCAGCTTATAATCATTGCTATCGCTAACCATAGATACTCTAACTCTTAGAGTTAGAAGCGATCCCTGACGTGATCAACTTCGAGGACACGAGTTAGAGGGAGGGAGGGTAAAAAAAAGCACGAAATTTCACAATTTGTGAACTTTGGGGGATGGGGGGCAAATGCCCCCTTGCCCCTCTACTATAGCTACAGCCTTGAACATACGTACATAACTGTATACACGTGTCCAGGGTAGAAATGAAACTTTTGAACAAGAATGGACTCCCTGCCCTCAAAAAGAGGCAGTCCACGGTAAAATGAAGTCTGCAGTCTGAAGTTTAAAATTAAAGATATTTAACGCATGTGCTTATTTTGAAGATTCATGCGATTGCACGTTGTCATTGGACATTTGCTGGAAAAATACGGTAATTCCGCGAGGCCGTGCTTTGGAACGAACTAGTTATAGTATATATAGCAGAATTTCCAAGGAGTCACACGGACTTCTGCATATGTCAAATCAGGGAGTCCGGCAGTAAATCAGGGAGTATTTGACTCCGGACTCACGTTAATTTCGCACCCTGCGTGTCACGTCGCGTACCTGGTACTGGCCGTTCTTCATGCGCAGGCTCACTGAGACCTGGTCGAGGAACGATGAAACCCAGAAGCTGTTCGAGTCACCATCGTTCGCGTACTGCAGCGGGTGCGCGTTGCCGTGGAGACGAGGCGCCGTGTCGAGGCTGGTGTCCGGGACGCCGTTGGCGATGCAGAATCGGTCGTTGTGCGGGAGGACGCGCGGGTGGGAGGCGGGGCAGCGACATGCCGGCAACGAGTGCACCGCCGGAAGCTCCCCCTCGATGACCTCGGTGACCTCTCTGTGTGCACGAAAATTGTTGTAGTACAGACACACTTATTACAGCACTGTAACCTCCCCATGTGCTAGAAAGACACTGTTAACTTGTAGTACAGACACACTTAATTATTTCAGCACTGTTACCTCCCTAGATGTGCTAGAAAGACATTGCTGTAGTACAGACACACTTAATTATTTCAGCACTGTTACCTCCCTAGATGTGCTAGAAAGACATTGTTGTAGTACAGACACACTTATTGAAGCACTGTGACCTCACTCTGTATTAGAAAGAAATTGTTACAGTACAGACACACTTACTGCCATACTGTTACCTAGCTCTTTGCATACACGGCTGTAGTATATACATATATGCATATTGTATTTGATGGTTTTGCTTTGATTGCTTTTTGGTGCCATTATTGATGCTAAGTAACGAAATCATGAACATGTGTAAAAAAATAACTTTGCCTATACATGTGTTTCAATGAATATGATGGAATATACAGGCATATATGCCTGTCTTAAGAATTCCATTCTGCTAACACTCAATGCACATATTTTGTGTCATACATATTTTTGCTTTCAGGTAATAAAAATTAAACAATATTAAGGATTCGGAATAAGGTTTAAAAACAATAACAGTGCACTCCTTAGATTCAGCGACGACCCCAAGTACTACAGTAGCGTTTCATCCTCCCCCTCGCCGCCCCTCCCCTCGCCTCGCACCTGTTTGACAACGCCGTCTGAAAGTATCGCAGGTCCTGAAGCCGACCGACAAACTGCTGTGACTCGTCTGCATTCTGTCCGATCGTCGCCACGCCATCTACGTCCAACACCTGACCATCCAACAGCCTTGTGTCAAACGTGTTGCCGCCCGCCGTCGTTCCGTTGAGAAACAACGAGACGTATGTGTCGTAGACCTGCCGACGAGAAACAAAAACAATCATCACACACATAACATGGTTGGAAATCGAATTTTTATTGGGCGGCAAGTACATATGCTGCCAGAGAAAAAGGCAGGCAGCAAATTTATCAACCCAGGCAGAATCTTTGGTGCTTTTACTATATGGTTTTTGAGTAATCTCTTGGCAGCAAGTATTTGCTGTGGACATTGAGTGCAGGCAGAACCCTGGCCCTTGTATAGGCAGCAAAACTGCTGCTTGTGGCCCTTAATTTCAAACCCTGCATATGATGTTTGCTTTCAAAACTGAGACATACATGGGTTTAATTACAGACGCATGGCTCGATGACAATTAAAGGGATTGTTTACTCTAGGTTCTAGGGTTATTTTCAGTTAATTTAGGTTAAAATTACGCTACATAAAAAGTTTCATGGTTCAATCACCATTAGAAATATCATTAAAAAATGTTTTAAAACTAACGACTACAGTTTGATTACAACGACGGTGGCGCCACTCAAAGCGCACGATCTGATAAGTTGCGCAAAACCACTTTTCAGCAAAGGGCTACAGACCGAGGGTGTTTCTTATTTATTAATTTAAAAGCAAAAGGATTGTAATATCTTATAAACGACATATAGTTTCAGTTATAATATGGATAAATTTGCCCTAAAATGAATATCATTCGGTTAAATAGCATTTAGGTATAAATATAATTGCACTTTTGTGATTAGTCCTCGGTCTGTAACGTGCAAAATAAATTGTCAAATACGCAACTTTTCAGGGTGGCAGCACGGTCGCGGGTGTCATATGGCGCCGTTCAAATTTCGTAGCGTTGATGTGTAATTAATTATAACAATTAAATTAGGTATCTGGTAACAAATACGTGAGGGTATAGACGATTTGTTATACAGTAAGTACAGTTGTATGCAGTAAAATCCTAGAGTCTACTATCCCTTTAATGATAGTCGATGATTTTGTTACAGACGCAAACACATGTATGTCTTTTGATGTATTTATGTACTAATTAAACTAGAAAAGGCAGTTGTCGCCAACTACATGTATCCCCTGTGATATAGTAATGAATGAAATATCTCTGTAAGGACGTAGAAGGTAGGAAAAGTTAAATAACTCACAAAGACAAAGGTTTGTTACACAACTCATCTGCCTGAGATGGGCAAGTATGTTAAAATTGGTTGCCTTAGGGGTTTTTGTACGCGACACACCTTCTCCCCAAGATGTGTAAGTTTACGAAGTTTGCTCACGCTAGGTCAATTAGAGGGCGAGTTATAGAGCGAAAGGGAAATATGATCAAGCTCAAGGTTAATGTCAAACAAAGGTTGCAGTGACCTGATTTTGGTACACGACACACCTTCTCCCCAAGATGTGTAAGTATACCAAGTTTGGTCGCGCTAGGTGAATTAGGGGCCAAGTTATAGAGCGGAAGGGAAATATGATCAAGGTCAAGGTCAAGGTCAAATAAAGGTTGCAGTGACCTGGTTTTGGTACGCTGCGCACCTTCTCCTCAAGATGTGTAAGTAGACCATGTTTGGTCACGCTAGGTCAATTAGGGGTCGAGTTATAGAGCGGAAGGGAAAGTGTCTGTGGCGGCGGCAGCTGGACAGACATGAAATCAGGGCCGTAGAGGCCTCCCAAAATGTGCTACTCCGGAAAAATGTAGGATCACCCAGTGATAATATCAAGAGTAAATAATAGAGAAGAGTATGACACGGTTTTAACAGCGTTTTGCATAGTTTTCAACTTGTAAATATTCTATCAATATGTGAATAAATATATTCAAACTTTACCTTGTTTTCATCTATGATTCTCCCTTAATCATATGACACCACAAATTTACCTGAAAATCGTATGTGTTCTTCAAAAAAGTTATTTGAATACGACACGGTTTCGCACAGTTTTCACGCATGGATGCATGTTTTAGACTAAACTTTCCATCGGGATTAGTGTTCTATTGTCTATGACGGAACTTTGGGGGCCGTAAGGAATATTAGGCATCGAATTGTATTCAGCGTGCAGCGTTTCCAGCGTGCTAAAAATAAATGTGCTCACGGCCAGCTAGCTAGCAGCTGATTCCCTTACGGCCCCGAGCGTACCGTCATAGACAATAGAACACTAATCCCATAACAAAGTTTGGTCTAAAACATGCATCCATGCGTGAAAACTGTGCGAAACCGTGTCGTATTCAAATAACTTTTTTGAAGAACACATACGATTTTCGGGTAAATTTATGGTGTCATGTGATTAAGGGAGAATCATAGTCGAAAACAAGGTAAAGTTTGAATATATTTATTCACATATTGATAGAATATTTACAAGTTGAAAACTATGCAAAACGCTGTTAAAACCGTGTCATACTCTTCTCTATTATGTACTCTTGATAATATCAAGAGTGGCGGTTATGGTGTGTGCCGCAGGCACGCATGGCTAACGGCGCAATCGCGAAGCAGATGGGGGGGGAGATCTGGGGATACCCCCCCACCCCACACACACAAAAATTTTTAAATTCAGAGCCTGGAAATGTCATTTCCTGCATTTTCAGGCTATGTTGAAAGCAACCAATTCTGATCATTTTAAAAGGTCAATTTGTAAATTTCAAAGAGGAATGTAGCTAAAGCTGATGTTTTTACCTGAGCTTAAGCTAAAGTATCTAAAATATATATTATGAGCATGATAACTAATAAAACATTGTTTACAAAATTGTATATACTATCAGTACATAATTATGAAAAATAATATAGTTTTTAATATTTCCGTTCCAGTGCATCATACTTCAGAATACGTTGAAGCCGGGCCGTGAAGGCATGCATGCAACGTGTGTGTTGTGAGTGCATGCGTACGTGCGTGCGTGTGTTGTGTGTGCGTGTGCGTGTGCGTGTACGTGTGCGTGTGCGTGCGTTCATCTCTCTCCGGGTCATGTTTTTCTCTCCTCTACATAATACAACAATTATTGGTTCAAGTGCTACAGCATAGATTTTAAAGCAAATCACTGTTCCCCCCACAGTTCCAGAGACCACCTCTTTTAAACGTGTCCAGGGGGGTCCAGGACTTCGTCGCAGGGGATACAATTATGGGGAACCACATGTAATAATCACAAATATCACTAATTACATATCATATATCAAATGTTATATCTTATATTTATTTGCAATTGTTCCAGTAACTGGGATTTTAGGATTATTTCTTTACGTATAACTGTAATCCTCTTTGTTGACAATTTTATCATTATTTTATCATGATTTCCATTATTATATTTCGCACTGATGTAACAAGTTATCTGTATTTGTTTTTGCTTTTCTACTGGTATCTTCTAGAGATTTCTAGAACTGAATCTGATTAAATAAGAAATTAAGTGAAACTTGAGTTCAGATCAGCAAGAGGGTTTCCGTGTACATCTTTCACATATAGCCAGCCCATCATCTCCCACCTCTGCAGATGCATACTGTAGACAGATTGTATCATCGTTCTTTACATCTGCTGCCTACCGTATAACTGCATGCCCCAGACGTCTACCCGAAAGGACTCTGTAGTCCATCTACGTTATAGATGGGTGGTGGCAGCAGTCACTGATAGTGGTCGTAGTACCACAGGTGATTCACTAATGAGGTATGAATAATTAAGCATAAATACTAATCAACAAATGGACTCCTTAATCACGTTATAGAGAGACAATCCCACACAAGATAAACCAAGTCTACACACGCGAATGCAACAAGCACAGATAAGCAGGTCACGAAACCAAAAAATTCCAGAGTTCGATTCAATGCCAATGCAAGGTTTTTTTTGGAAAACATTTGAGTTACGGACATCTCTTTCTATGTTATATAGGCACGGAATGCATGCAACACACATGCAGAGTAAACACAATCAAGCGAACATGTACCTGTATGTGCGTGTGTATATCATATCATTCACAGATTTATTAAATGAAATTAAATGTATGTATAATTTTGATTTGGCTATATAAAACTCTGTAAACACTGAGGTACCTATTGTACAGCAAGCAAATATAGATTCGTTTTTTGCTAGTATGGCAAGTAGTATTGGCAAGTATGACAATTAAGCAGTTTTCAACTAGTCCAGCTGTTTGTGTTTTGTGATATGTGCGGGCACTAGGGGAAACATTGAGCTTATTTAAACACATATTTAACATTTCAACAAGTGTCTAATTAATAACAAATGGAAAGGGTAAACGGACTAACTATAGTATATTCAGGCCCGTAGCCAGGGGAGGTTCGGGGGTTCGCACGACCCCCCCAAGCCCCCCCCCCAAGCCAAAAAAATAATTTGCAAGAATTTCACCTCAGGTATGCACCAGATCGCTCCATTTTAGTATAATAATTGCAAAATCTCCATCGTGTGGGAGAGGGGTGTCCCCCTGCTCGGTCGCTACGCGCCCTCACAAATTGCAAACATTTAAAAACGAACCTCCCCCCCCCCCAGTATAAAGCTGGCTACGCCCCTGGTATATTAACCCATGTGCTTATTGATAATGCATATAGGGACATACTAAATGCATATAGGGACCATACTCACATTTCACATATTTTAAAAACACAAGCACCACCCAGGTACAAACCAAGCAGTGCTCCTTGTCATGAATTATTGATCAGCAACACAATTAGAACTCTGTGGAGCCAGCTGTCGTACAGCTCACAGACACACTGACCGTGAAACGTCACTGTGCATGCGTGCCCTCCTAAACCCCCTCACCAGACAACAGCTGCCCACCTTCCAATAATAGATCAGACCAAGAGCCCATTTTACCACTCATTAACCACTTCGGGGTTAATGGGCTCATGATCAGCCGTGATACACGTACACATAGACAATATATACCTGCAAAAAGTACAAACCTGTGTAGATTTAATATACCTGAGTATGTGATCATGTCGAAAGACACACAGAGAGAGACACAGAGACATAGACAAGGAGAGAGAGTGGAGAGAGAGATGGAGAAGGAACGAGTGAAGGAGATGGAGAGGGAGGGGGAGAGGGAGAGAGAGAGGGGGAAGGATCGAGAGGGATAAAACGAGAGAGAAAGTGGGAAAGGGATAAAACGAAAGAGAGAGAGAGAGAGAGAGAGAGAGAGAGAGAGAGAGAGAGGAGAGAAGAGAGAGAGAGAAGAGAGAGAGAGAGAGAGAGAGAGAGACGAGAGAGAGAGAGAGAGAGAGAGAGAGAGACGAGAGAGAGAGAGAGAGAGAGAGAGAAGAGAGAGAAGAGAGAGAGGGGGAGAGAGAGAGAGAGAGAGAGAGAGAGAGAGAGAGAAAGAGACAGGGAGAAAGAACATGAAAGAGAGACAAAGAGACGGAGAGAAAAATAGAGAAAGAGAAACAGAGCTTGAGATACAGAGAGAAATTCATGCTGCGAGTTACTTAATTGACTATTCTAGATAAGCCGTTATTAGACGTGATCACCTACAGTAGAGAGTGGAATGTAATAATAACCTGCAGAGCCACGTGAGTCCACGTGTTCGCGCCGACGCCTCCCTCGAAGCCAACAACATGCAGTCTGTCCTCGCTCTCCTCCGCTCTGTAGTGGATGATCACGCGACTGTTGCTGACAACCACAGTGAACACGGTGACGTCACCCGCTCTCTTCTCCAACACAGTCCTGGAAGACACGATGACACACGCACGAACGTGACACACGCAGTCATGGTGACATTCACAATGATATCTCGATTGTTGTATTCGAATTAAGAAAGGAATTGTAATTATGATAATATAACAGTTAACTACATTAATTATGTTGTAACTCATGTAACTATTCATGAGATATAATTTGTGTGTCAATGACATTCACAATAATTTTGCTGCTGTTGTATTTTACACTACATTGTAACTATGAGTTCCAATGAGATGACTATGAGTATGAAACTTGAAGTCTGACAAAGAAATAACAGTAATTTAAAAACGACTATTTTTCGTGTAAATACTATTAAAAAATACATGATTAATACATGTAATTTTACACCTCATCAACAATCACCACAGGTACTAGCTACAGTACGTTTCCGAGTTCCTGATTTATTAAAAAAATATACAAGCAATAAAATAAATATAAATATAAAATAAGATATAGAAAATATATAAGAATCAGATATATCCACAACTAGTACATAATCTGCAGCAAGTATTATACATCTGTACAACATGCTAAAGAGCTAGTTCATCGCTTGCATCTCGCGCTCTCCGCGTGTACCACACCCACCCTACGTTTCCTGCCTCCTGGTTCACCCACACGGCCACCGTGAATGCCGCGTCGCCCGCCGATGCAGGCAGCGCCACCCTGAGGAAGCACCGCGGCGCCCCCGCCGCGAACGCGTGCGAGTACGCCCCCTGGCGGCTCCACGGCTGCCTGTTGACGAAATCCGGCACGGGGCAGTCGTCGGACGGCGACGACGCCCGCGAGAGGGCGCTGATCGCCGGTGGGAGGGCGCCACGGTGCGCGCAGTCCTGCAGGCAGTTAGCGCGCGAGCACGTGCGCACGGACTCTGGGAGGCGGGAGCTGCGGCAGTACTGGCTGCGGGACGGAACCCCGCACGTCGCGTCCGTCGGATTGGTCGCGATCTCGCCCTTGTACGCGACGTTGAAGAGTTCCGGAAACTTCCGCGCCTCCTGCTGTGCGGGTGGCTGCGCGGCGACGCGGGGAAACCAGGAAAGGAACAGGAAGAGAAAGAGGAGATACAGGAAGAGGTAGACGCGGGCAGCAGGGATGTGAGGTCGCCGGGGTCGCGGCGCCGGCGTCACGACAGCGTGAGGAGAGCGGTGTCCATATCGCATCTTGCTCACAAGTCTTGCTCTGCAAAATGTTGATAACTCAAAATCAGACAGCTGGCCAGTATCGAAAAAATCTTCGTAAAACGTGCTGTTCAAGATTTTTGTCGGATTCAAAGATCAGTCAGAGGAAAGAGAAAACTGGAGGTGTACAGGGATGAGGTCGAGGTGGAAATAGAAGGAGTATGAGTAAGAGGAGGAGGAGGAAGAGTAGCAGGAGGAGGAGGGGTAGGATAAAGAGGAGGAGAGGTAGAGGAGGAGGATAATAAGAGAAGAAAGAGGAGGAGGAAGATACAGGAAGGGGAAGGAGGGGGAAGGGGAAGGAGGGGGAAGAGGAGGAGGTGGAAGCAGAGGAAGAGGGGTAGGAGAATGAGGAGGGAGGAGGAGTAGGAGAATAAGGAGGGAGGAGTAGGAGAATAAGGAGGGAGGAGGATAAGAGAATAACTAAATGATGAGGTGGCCGAGAAGGGGGAAGTTATGGAGGAACCTAGATGCAAAGACGGAAGAAGGACGTCGGAGGGAGAAGAGCAGAGAGAAGAGAGTAAGGATGAGCAACTCAAGAGATAAGAGTTAAAAGCGAATGATGATTAGGCAGCTCAGCAGGAGGGAAGTACGGGAGGTGAAGGAGAACGAATGGGAATCAGTGTGGTGGATAAGGAAGTATATAAGGAGGAAGGATGGAAGGGTGAAGGTGGTCAAAAGAAGCAAGAGTTTGCTAAAGGGAAGGATGGGGTGTTAATAAGAAGGAAATGGAAGACATAGTTGGAAAATGGGAAGAGAACAATTAAGGGAGAGGAAGAAAGGATGAGGAGGTGGTGTCATGTAAAGAGGAGAAGTATGAGGAGAAGAATGCAGAGAGGGAAGACGAAAGGAGGAGGAAGTGGTGGTGGTGGTGGTGGTGGTGGTGGTGGTGGTGGATGAGGATGAGGAGGAAGAGGAGGAAGAGGAAGAGGAGGAGGAGAAGGAGGAGGAGGAAGAAGAGGAAGAAGAAGAAGAAGAAGAAGAAGAAGAAGAAGAAGAAGAAGAAGAAGAAGAAGAAAAAGAAGAAGAAGAA